GCAGCCTTCTACCTATTTAAAGATCATTATATTTGCATTAGTTCAAGTAAATAAAATATAATTTGGCCCATGATGAGCCTAATTTACATTCTTTGCAATTATATGTGAAATTAAAGCTCAAAACAGCAGGAAGGAATACAGAGAAATATGCAGCTGAAGGATTTTAGACAGTGAAATATCCTTCTGTATAAATTTTCTGTAGAGAATCCACAGCAGCATTCTCTCTCCAAACAGTTTAGGTGGAAGCAGAAAACATGGCAAAAACACCACAGATCTTAATTTTCCAATGCATTTATGAACCAAATTTGGAAGAGCTAAGAAGTTTCTGTTTCTTCAGTCTTAGATTTCAGAAGCAGAGCTAAAAGGGAATGTTCTCATTACAGCAAATTAATCAAACTTTGACATGAAAATGTGCATTTAATAATTTTTTACTGCTTGTGAAAAATTCCCATTTTCACAAGGATGGAAATGGAAAAGGAAAGATAAAAAAAATTCACCCACACAGGGAAGCATCTTCTTAGATTGAACAGAAAACTTTTCTCAAATGAAACTATTACAACCAATTGTAAAAATAGTGTAAAATCTTTCATTAAGACCTAGAAAGAAAATAGTGTTTGGACAAGCCTAAAATAAAATTTCACGTTGATTCTCTCTGAAAGTCAAGTTAATGTAAAGCTTTTAATATCAGTCTAGCTTTGGCAGTAGTCAAATACTTTTCAAAAATTGACACACTTATGTCAAGAGAAAGTAAATTATTTTTGCTATTGGTTGGTCCATTCTTGTCAAAATCCAACTAGCTTTCCTTTTCCCTTCATTCTTAGAGTGTCATTTCTACAGTTGTCATAAGTTAAGCTGTATGGAAAGAATGAAGTTACTGGAGTGCAGAGCACATATTTTTTTAAAAAGAAAGAAAAAAAATCATAAAAAACCATGAAACCATACCCACACACAGACACAGAAATTTATACTGTTCACAAAATCATTATGTAACACTGTAAATAATCATCTTCAAGGAAAACATTAGGAGTTTTGATGAAATCCCTAGTATAAAAAAAAGTGAATAAAAGAGTAATGAAGACAATAACAAAGGATGAATCAAAACCAAATGGAATTTTATTTATGTGCTAGAAATGTATTTTGTATTGTCTGCTAAGTCTTCCTGTCTCTTGGGTTGGCCAAGAGATGTGTTAGGAAAAAATGGATCTATCATTCTTTCTTTTTATTCACTTCCAATAGAGCTACCAGTTGTTAGAAGATGATTCTCTATTAGCACATCTATAACCAATTCTGGGGATAGAGACAGTAAACTTTAATCCTAATAATTGACATGTTGTCTGCATGAAAATTATTAATAAAAAATATGCAATAATTGTGTTATTATTGGTTGTCTACTACTACTAAAAATAGCTAAAATCTTTACATGTACAAAGCCAGTTCCTTTGTAGCACAAAAGTCATAGGATAATGGAAACAATTTTGTACAAGTGCATTTATTATTTATTATTATTTTATGTCATCATCATTAGCAAGGATTAATATTATTAATAATAATTATTATTGTTGTTATTTTATTTAGAGTCAATCCTTCCAGTGGAAGGATACTTTGCCTTTAAACATATTGGCAGCATTATTTTAAGTGGTCTTGTAGTATCTGGCCTTTTTTAGCAGCCCTGAACTTATGTGGCATACTACACAGAGCTGGATTTGAGCCTGTTCCCCAGAAGTTTGAATTCTGTCATGCTAGACTAAACTAGTGCATGCCCAGCCTGGGATCTTCTTCAAGAGCCCAAATATCCCCATAGCAACATTACCTCTAAACATCTTTGTCTGAGAGAGACATACCTTACGTCAGAGTTTCTTCACAGGTATTAAAAATCAGAATGCCTTCACTCAGAGTCAGAATGGAGTCCAATATCTTCCTCATACCTGACTGACCAGAAGCCTCAGCCCTTCACACTCCCCCATTCACACTCCATTTAGCTGACCTATTTTGAAGTCTTTAAAAAAGAAATTGCTGGATCTCCGATAAGGCTAGATGGTTTTATCCCTAAAAGGACTAGCAAATTCATAACTAATGTGAAATCACCTTAAACAGCCTAAAGGAAAGAGAAACTTATGAGTTCAGACCCATATTGTATAATTTGACACAACAAATTCATATACATCAGTTATCCTTAGATAAAATGCAACAAGCTAAAATAAGAAATCTCTGCAGCACTCCACAGTAAACTGCAATGCAACATGACATGAGGGTGAGAATCTTTTCTTCACAAGAAAAAAGGTTTTGAGATATATAAACAGTCTCCTAGCTGCAAAGGGTTCAAGTTTATTACCTACTGCTGTTTCCTGAGCATGATAAATAGCTTGTTGTGCACAGGATTGAGATATAATTCCACTTCTCATGGCAAAACACAGGCATCCTTATCCTTCTAGCATATATCAGGCCTCCACACATTGCTGTTTTCAATATCCTCTAAATCCTAAGAGGTCTGAGCTAAGGACATACTAGGTAAACAGATATGATTCTTTCCCAAAGGGACAATCAAGGAAATGCTTGCAAAGTATCTTCAGTTTCAGCGATTTGCTGTATGCTAATAATCTTTTAATTCCCTCTCACACCTACCTCCTTGCTTTCAACACCATATTAAGATCTTTAATTTGGGTCAGTTTAAGAAATATAGCAAAGGTGATCTATTAAAATGGGACAGAAAAAGACATCAAGATAAAGGAAAAGCAAAAATCTGCTTTTTCTTTCTAAATAAAATAAATTATTCTCAAAACAAACACATCAGTTTAAAAGCTGGGTAGAATAGTGTAATTATTCATTAAGATCTTCACCACATGTTGAAGGTCTTAGCTAAATATTAATCCCATGCAAGTCATCAGTGGTGACAACATAACTTCAAAACAAATAGGAGAGAAGCAAATTAGTTCCTTCTAAACATTATCAGAAGCTGATTAGTTGAATTTATTTACTTAGTCTGATTGAGTATCAGAAGTAGAGTATCAGAAAAACACTTCCTTCTAACAATTTTTCATGCTTTCTCATTAGGAATTCATTTCTAGCTACAAAAACTACCATATCAGCACTTAAGAAAACCACACAAAGTACCTAAAATGAAGCCAAATCAGAGTTTGACTGTCTGATCTGAGAAAATAATTTTCATCCCATGTGTCTAAGAGATCTTTGGAAGCTTCTTCTTTTCCTGGTAAAGCATCAGAGCCACTTCTTCCTGGAAGTTCTGCCACCTTGCCAGAGGGACACACATCTCAGTGTCTGCTTCCAAGCCACTGCCTTGAGGAATTCATAAACTGCATGAAAACACTACAAAAACTCCCTATCTGCACACGTATTTTAAAAAGGTTCCTTCCAACCCAAAGCTATTCTAGAATTATGTGATTCTAAGGGTGGGCTCAACAGCTGTATGTTTTAAAACTGCCATTAGTCAGTTTATCCATAAGACCAAAAGGAAGAGGTTTTTCTTCCCCAAAAGTCCAGAAATCTAAGCATTTGCTCAGAGTGCAGGTTATGGGCTATCATTGAAAGAAGAGTTTAAGTTAAATCTTTTATTTGCAATATGAAGCCATAGGCTTTATTCCCAAGTATTTGTTTTCTACTAGATTTGTTTGTATCTATAGTGAAAATCCAACACTTTGCTTTCATACTCAAAGGAATTAGTTTTTATCCAAATTAATCATCTTTCCAACAAAATTACCGTCCTTTAAAAAAATAACCCGCAAATAACAAGGCATATCAAAAAAAACCCAGGAAAACTCATAACAAAAAGAGTCTGACCATTGAAATTATTTTCTTCTAGTCTACTAAGCCTCAACTACATACATAATAAAACCCAGCACTGCTATGAAATTCACTAGCACAACATAAGTGACAGCACTGCAAAGGCCAGTGCAGACTATGCTTCATGTCTTTTTGGTGTCTCCTTAAACCCTATTTTATAAATACACTACTTTTCTTCTTCCACCAGTTGATCTCACAGTATTAATTCAAATATTTTAAATTATGGAATTAAAAAGCAGAGGTATAAAAGCATACTACTAATTTTGGCCTTCAGTATATTCTTCTTAATCTTTTTAAAAAGAGAATCCATTTCCAGTACCTGCATATGAGAGCATTTATAAGAGAGCAGGGAGAGAATAAAGCAGAGAGAGAAGGCACATATAAGGGCTACCTTAAAGAAGGATTTTCCTTTGACACATTTGCTGCATTGGCCTTGCTGAGCACATGCAAGTGAAGGCTAAACATTTCATAACTGGTAAAAAAAAAAGAAAATTTCTTAGCTCACGAAACTATCCAAAATGTTAAATTGAATCCTATCAATTTATAAATAAGAGTGTCATAGAGATGCATAAAATTGATTTAACCAACAGTGAAATTCATTATTATTGCAATCAGCACGAGAGAAAAGAAATTATACCCATTGGCAACCATTTACACATCCCTATAAATCAAAATATTTTTTAGTATTTTTTCTAAAGATAATCCTGTTATCAAGTAGTGTCTTATATTTGGTTAGTTTATGAGGGCAAAATATGGTAAGAAAATTCTGGGAATCATTTTTAAGGTAAGCACAAATTAAAGCTGTTGCAAGGGAGAAGGTGGAATCTATTAAACTGTGATAATAAGTAGGGATCAAGGACTTTTTATTTTTTGAAAAAAAACATACTTCTGTGCATCCTCTCAGGGATATAGTGTTGCTTGGATCAGAGAAAACTGTTTCTGATAATTTGAACAAAAGTAGTTTGCCACAGTTTGAATTTACCTGGCACACATTATGTGAGAAGGATCCTTTGCTTCAGCACTTGTCCTGTTTTTAGAGTGTTACTAAATTTTGCTTTTGCATGACCCATGCATCTTAATAGGGTCCTCTAAGGAACCTGACAGAGACTGGAAATGAGCAGACAGCTCCTAATGAGAGCGCAGCAGGCAGTGTGGGAGTCGGCACCACAAGAAAACGAATCAGGTTGTGTAGGAAGCCCTACCACTTTTCCTTACAGTCTCTTCTTTTGCAGAATCCCGCTTGTGACAGACTGTCTCCTCCTCCTCCTCTTCCACACCTGGAAGAAGAGAATGATGCAAAGAACACAGTGCTGCTGTTCATATCATTAATGCTACTGCTCCATCAGATGCAGATACACGCGTTCATATTATGCAGTTCGCAGCAGCATAGCATCAGAAAGAACCAATAACTCTGCATCCTTAAAAACCATTTCCAGACACTGAAATGAGAAGACTGAGTTAAGGCAGGTCAAAATAAAAGTGTCTTAGCAAAACTAGTTGAAAAAAATGCCTTCTAAAGCTTGTACATAGCCTACTGCACTCTCAATGACAAATACCCTGATCATCAGTTTTCTTCTAGGTTATTTAAAAAGATATTCTAACATGGGTTTCACTTCAAAGAGTAAGCACAAACACACAGAAATACAAAACTGTACAAATTTTCTTTTTGTTGTTTCAAAAATATGAAACAGTACTCAATAACTTCATTATTATTATTATATTTTCCTTTACAGATCTTGCCACAAAATGAATGTAGAAATGGAGCTCACTGCCTTTCCCTGCATTTTTTTTTCTCTTGGTGGGTTTCAAATGGTTTCCAAGGATAGAGAAAATTTCACATGATGAACCAGAAGAAATAATAACTGCAAGAGAACTTGAACAGTTTTGTGCTGACATAACTTCCTGACTTCATCACTAATTGACTTCACATTTGACCAGACAAGAATCTGAATATTTGCAGACTGGAAGGAGGGCAGTAAGGTATGACCACCACCTTCAGAAGCCACAAAGATTCTCATTGACTTGACTGTGTCACAAAACCACAAACTCCAGCTATGTATGTTTCTTGGCTTGGGATAGATTTGGGAGGGAACTTCCCAAAGGGATCTCCTCTAGAAAGCAAATTTCAGCAGCCCCTCCTCCAACTGGTTTGGGAGAAAAAGCTGAGAAGGAAGCACATGAACAATTTCCCCACAAAAAACATAAAGGCACAGAGGTGAGGAGTGGCATCCAGTAAAACTTGCCCTGATCTGGCAGGGAACTTAAACGCACTTCCAGGTTCACCAGTCTAGAAGTAAAAATACCAAAAGTATGTTTTTATACTCTTTGTGTCTCTCAACAAATCCCAGCTTTGCAGCAGGAACATAACTGTAGAATTAACTTTTTTTTTTAAGGTACTTGTTTAAATGTAATAAATTGTGGAAATAGCAATATGTACATCTTAATATAGATTTTTCATATGTAAATACTATCTTTAGAAGGTAATTCACATATTAATACATAAGGCCTTAGCTTATAAAAAAAAAAGTGGCATAGACTGGTGATAAGTGACTTTCAGCAAATCTCACAATGCCTTAGATAAGCTTCAGGTGCACATTTGCCAATCCCAGCCCAGAGCTTTATCAAGAAAGCACTCTTGCTTAGTGAGACTTTGAAAATTATACTGACATGAAGAAACATGTTCCTTGAGCCTAAATCACAAGATTGATGAAGGCTGATAGATATAATATTTTCCAGCTCCTTCTCTGGCATTACCTATTCTTCTGGTATTTGAATTCCCTTGTCCAAACAATCAGCAGACCTTCCAACACTAAGGCCTCGCAATAAGCAGCTTTCTTCCCGCTCCTGTAGCTTTGTTACTGTGATCATCAGTACAACAATGATTTTTCTCTGAATGACACGGGGCACTAACATGAGGAAAAAGTGTGTGATTATTTTTACAACGGGCATGCTGCGTCTTTACATATGGAGGTAAAGAGGGGAGGAGGGAGAGAGGAGAGACATTGGTCTTTAGGAGTTTATTGACTTGGTCCCATGAATCCTGGTAGTTACATCTACTGAAATTCTCCAAGGAGCTGAACAGAGCTTGTACATGATCCTTCTTCTTAAAAAACAGTGCTTTTTGCACACCATGCCCTTCATGCATTCATCCAGCTAAGTCCACCTGATTAAATAAAATTATCCTCTTCCTTTTCATCTAGTGAAAGAAAACAGAAAATTGGTAGTACTTGTCCCATTACACTAAGAGCACAGGCATTATTTAACTGCTATTAGTAGAATTGTACTATTTTCTGCCTGTCTTTTCATTTCTATAGTCAAAGCTAACACAAAGACTTCTCTAGCCTTTCAGGAGTAATTTTATTTCAAAAATTGAAGGAACAGCTACCTCACAGAGCATTTTCCTTTAGTACCTGCCATTTATCAACTGGCATCACACAGCTATGAAAAAACATTTACACAAACATTGAATGTTTTCTTTCCCACTTTTAGAGAAGTTAAAGTAAAACAAAAGGTGCATTAAAGAAATAATTCTTAACAGTAAATGGCATTTAAGATCCTCAACTCTTCCATTTTTCTTTACTACAGAAACATTTACTGCACAAAAGTTTCACTTGACTAAAGCTGCTTCTTCTGCAAGGAAAATCCACAACATAGAAAAAAAAGTCTACTTATTGCAGAAAAAACGCTTTTTTGTCATTTTCTCCAAAGTCAAAGTTGTAACCACATCATCTATTACAGTTCTTCCTGGAGTGTCACTCAGCAGTTGCCACTATGATCTCTGAACATCAGTATCTGTAAACAAGGTAACTTTCTTGCTTGATGAGGCCATGCTTCTCCCTTGCCATTCAATGGCACCCCATGTAAAGTGACTTACAATTTAATTGGATTAGCCTGCAAATATATCACTTGACACATCCTTTTTAGCCTTCCCATCTCACCAAAAAAATCATAACTAAGTGGATTAATTTTAAAGAGGAAACCTCTCACAAAGAGTTACAGTTTGAGAAAAAAAGGGTCTTCAGTAGCCCAGTGTAAGGAATCAGTAACAGTGTAGACTTATGCAACTGAAAAACTGGATTAACTGAGCTATTTTTTCCTGTATTTAACAAATACAGAGACTGATATATCCCACAGATGCATATTCCTAGGGAAAATGTGAAATGTCAAGGCTTTACCACTTCACCAGAGCAGGTAATTAGGTAATTAGAGCAATTAAACGTTGACAGAACACCAGCGACCCCCAGGTGAATTACAGCCATGAATTATGAAAGCATGAGCAAGGGAAGAGGGAAGACTTTGGCACATAAGTAGGATAGATTGAATGCAGTTATAGCACCAGGTTTGTAATTTTTGCACTTACCTTCCAGATGTACTTAGCTGTCCACAGCTTTTGTTGTCAAACTTCTTATTTAGGTGTCAGGGGCAAACTCATCTAGGTACATTTTCTCTCTGAAAAAAAAGTGAATTAAAAAGCAGAGTATATATTAATCTACTCTCTCAACCTTGTACACCACATGAAAGGGCTGAAAAAGTAAAAGAGTGTTTTAACAAATCCACATCCATCTCAGTAAAATACATCCACCAGTCAAGGCACCTGGGAAAGAGAACGTCAACGGGGCCCTTTGCACAAAATGGACACAAATTATCAATCACTAAATTATGCCAGAGGCTTTATAACCTCCATCACACCTTTTGCTGGGGACTGTCTGCTTGCCAGCTATATACAGAAGCACCTATTTGCTAAATAAGGTATTTGAGCAACACAACCATCATAGCATGAAGTTCAGGAATAATTTGCTTCTCTTACTATTAGGGCAGGTTTCCTTTACTAAGTTTTTTTTGTTTGTTGAGATTAGGAATTTGAATTGGTTTATAATACATTGGTCTGCCTGCCTCGATGAACCAACTCTACATAGAACAAGCTGGCCCTGGGGACTGGAAGCATTATGTAGTTGGAAAGCAGGGACAGAAGCACAATTCCTGAGCAGGCACAGCTGCAGAGTGCAGGGCAGATGGGCAACACATGCAATTCCCAGCAGTTGTGAAAATTTCAACTACCAGATTTGCTACAAGTAAGAGTATGTGAACATTTTATATGCTGCAATTCTATTTAGGTGGAAAGTTGCTTTAAAAATGAAGAGAGAACAGGGAAAAGAAGACGAGAGACCCACCAAAAAGCGAATACAAAACATATCACATACAGGAGATTTCACATTTTCGCTTCTCAAAAGCACATCCATTATTCTGCTCTGAAATTGTTAATACTTCATTTCATTGCTTTTACCAAATGGAAAGAATTATTCTAGAGAAAATAACATTAAAGACTATTAACCATTCTTTCTAAAATTAATTAAATAATTTTATAATAAAAATATACTAAGAAAGCAATTTTTCAAGTACTTGAAATATTAAATATGAAATTTAAAAATCTAATTATAATCTCTCACAGAAAACTATATATAATCAATATTATATGTATAAAATGCCTGTTGTAATATATATATTTATTTACTTAAATATTAATTTTTAGGACTTTATGGCTTCAAGTAAAACCCTATATTGATATGGTTTAACATATATTACTTAATTTTAAAAATAGATTAAATTAGCTGATGACACAAAAAGGGTAGAAAGTATAAAAGATTATAGGGTAAGGAACAAACCTTTCAGAATGGTTCCTGTAGATTAAGCATGTGGGTGGATAAGTAACTCTCAGAGTTCAGAGAAGAGAACAGAGCAGTGTCAGTGTAATGAGCAGAAGTAGGTGGATGGTTCCAGTTCCAAACAGAATATCTCCCACTGCATCAAGGCTGCTGAAAATGATTCATTCTATGGTACATTTTACATGTCATGGACATTCTGTAGGTTTTCTTTCCTACTTGTCAAAGCCATGTATATAGTCAGGGGAGATGGCAAAGAAAATGCCCTTTTGTTTACCTTCTAACATTATTTTCTTTCAAAAACAAACAAAACCCCACATACATTTGGAAACAAGGAAAAATAGGGAAAACTGAATTCAAGCAAAAAAGTGAAGAAAATACAAATCTAAAATATGAAATTGGAGAAAACAGATTTGGAGGGAATGTGGGGGGAATAAAACCAAACAGAAAAGGAAACCCCAAAAAGCAATATCACTTACCTTGAGTTTATATATCAATCCTTAATTAGTATCCAGGTATTTAGCTGCATTATACCTTTATGAAGGTATGCTCTCCTTTCCACAGGAGAGCAGACCAGGATCCATTCCTCAGAAATAGTTAAAAGAAAAGACAATTACATCAGTCCTCCACTATTAGCCCCTATAATCTATGCAGCTCCTGAAAAGACAAGAGTTCTCTGTAGTACACCTTACTAACAATACCATTAATGCTCCAACACAGATCATTAGTTTAAAAGAAAGTAGTAAAGAGATGGAAAGCATAAGTTGGTAATTCACAGCTCTGTGAAAGAGACCTCTCTGAACTTCTAATGACCACTGACAGTGCTGAGCTATAACCCAATTATATGACTGATCTGACCATATTCTGCCTCTCATTAGACCTCCCATTATACCTAAAAACATACTGAAACTGACTTTCATTGAACTAGGAACCTAAACATATGTTTAATTCTGAGCCCATGCTCTGCTAAATGCTGCAGAACAAAAACCCATATCCTGTGTAATAAAGGAGGTTAAGTTAGAGTTAAGACCTTTTTCAGATTGTTATCTTCCATTATGTACATCTGTTGAATGAATTATTTATAGGAAAGTTTCATTAGTACCTTCCAGTTCTACCCTGTATTGCTAACAAACTTATCCTAGGTTTGATGCAGAAGGCTAGTGGTGCTCTTTGGGATTAATTGCAAAAATAAATTTTCAGGAAAAATTTATTCTCCATTAACTTTAAGTTGTCTTAAAAACTAAGAAGAAAGAAAAGAAGGCATGTCCTTGTTAGATGGAACTGAAGACCAAGAGTATGCTGATGTCTATGGAGAATGCCCACTGACACTCCAGTTTCCTCAAAGCTGTAAATGCAAGGTGTGGACAAATATTAGCAGCAGTCACTACAGCCATCTAACAGAGAGCAAGTCATGTCATATTAGAATAAAACATATAGGTAGCACGAGAAGCCATTTTCAATTAAAAAAACCCACTAACCATACAATAATATTCAGGAATATATATTTCCTTTTTGTAATAATCCCACTAAACTACTGGTTTCAGCAGAAAAACTACAGATGCTTAATTTTAATGGCCAGGTTGACCAAAAGATAATTTTTAGTTTTGCTTTCTTCCTCTTTATCCAATACTGATAATGTGCACAAGCTACTCCTTAGTGTTTTATAAATTAAAATGTAGCCTCCCTTTCTGTGCATGCATATGACTTCAGTATATATTTAATTTTGTCTTTTGTGGACTCCTCACACATACCGTAGCCAAAAAAATTACAGTCCACAGGCCAATTTTACAGTTGGATCTAAATTTATTTACAAGATAAAAAATCCACACTCTTAAACTAAAACATATGGTTTCTGCTTATCAGTTCTCCAGTGTTCTTTTTTTTCCTCAACTCTGTCAATTTACAGGCCTCAAACTCCACAAATGTTTTGCATAAATCAAATTAGCTGATTGGATTCATCTATCTATGTAACATGAATCTTGACAGAAATCACTCTTTTAAGGATTATTTTGAGCCTCCTACAGGTACTTGTAAAGCTTCCTAGCAAGGGTCCTCTATGTTTCACTTGTAATTTTTCATTTTTTTCAGACCACCATTCACACCTTCCCAACTTTCTGAAAAGTGTATTCTGTAGGGTATTTAGTGATAACTAGATAGAAATATGGAACACCATAAATAGCCAGAAAGAAAAGCTGATATTTTAAAATATGATTTTTTTTTTTAATTTTACACTCGCCAGATGAAAAGGCATAATCTTCTACAAAACTAAATAATTTTGCTTTTTTGAGCTTTCTCCAGAGCAGGTTTAAATCTCTGGCATTCAATCTGAAAAGAACTAAGAAGTTTTCCAAACTTTATGTCTTTTAAATGCAAAGTGCCTTCTTTGATGTAACCTACCTGAAAGACATTACAGGATATTTGTTTTCTAAAGGACTTGTGTCAAAATGAAACCTACCACAAAAAAAAAAAAAGAAACTCTTCTTACATGAAGAAGATAAGAAAAGAGTAAACAACATATGAAAGATAAGAGTTGCATTAGTAATATACTTCTGGAAGACTTTGCATATTCCAGAGAAAAATATAAGTATATATTTATATATATAAATATAAAGGCAGGGAGGAGGTAATAACCCTGAGGTGGGGGAGGATGAATGGAATACATGTGGTGTATACAAATATACACACAATAAATAAATAAATAAAAACCAAATATTCTCTTCAGCCAACACGTATCCTTTTAGTCAGCGTTGGCTCTGATGACTTTTAGTTGGTGATAATCTTAACAGGAAGTTTTAGAGTAGCTACTGCAGCTAAGACTCTAAATGCAAAATCAGTGGCAGCTCTCCCCTTGGGAAGATCCTACCCTACCAAAACTCAATAACCCTTGGTAAAATGTTTGAGGCTTTTTTCTCCTCCTGCATTAAGGAAGGATCCCAATGTGCTACCAAGCCTGGTAGTCCAAGACACAAGCACAAAAAGCATTCTGTGCCTGCACAATGGCCCTCAGTGGGGAGTTCCCTGGATGCCCACATGGCCAGAGTGTGACAAGTGATAACTCAGGATAAGCAAGAGCAGGGTAACTTAAGATAAAATGAAATGGTTATTCACAAACTGACAGGCTATTTTTCTGCTTCCAATGGGTACCAAATAAGTATTTCCCGCTCATTCTTATTATTTTCACAATGAATGATCTTATCCAATGAATGGTGTACTCTTAAAACTCTGTTGTACAGGAGTACTACAAAATTTTCTCTTGAGATATCCACCAGCTAAAAACATTACAGGCAACACTGGTTAAAAAGATCCTTCATGATAGGAGAGGATGTAGGGCTACAGGGACTTAATATCTCTGCTTCATTTCCCTTCATTAGTTAGCCAAATTTCACTTAATAGAAGGTAGGTAATTTCTTAGTCATGTCTCCTGTGTTGAGCACAATAGAGGGAATTTGGTATTCCCAAACACTGTGCTGGGAAACTCACACTAAAAAGAAAGTATACAGCAGAAAAAGGAAGCATTTGTCAGAGTACCTTGTTTATGCAATTTTTGTTCTGTGGATTAAACATATTTTCCTGCTACATGTTTTGGAAACTTTGTATTTGGTTCTTGAACACTAAAGAAACAGAAGCTGCCAAAATTATCCATAGCATTTGCACAAAGCTAAAAACTTGCTCTTTCCCATCTGAGAGCAGCTATCACCATCTTTTTTGAAGTAGTGCAAGCATATTTTAGATCAGGCTAGGCCTTACAACCATTAAAAAATATAGATATTATCTAAAACATTTGCACTTTCATCAAGTTTTATTCATGTAGGAAATAAATAACCAGACTTTCAGTGTATAGAAATCTGCTGGCTTCTCCAGGATCTTTTGTAAAGAGATTTTTCTGGTTGGCTGGCAACTCCGTTAGAAACTGTACTTTTACACTGTGCAAAATGAAATTCAATAAACCAAGCACTCAAGATAGCATCTACCTACTTCAGCAGGATAGGGACAATAACAAATGCAGCTTTTCTTATGATTGCAGGCTATTTTTCTTTGAAGGGCCCTCTCTCAGAGAATAAGATAACTACATTGTAAGAATAAGTAAAGATCACAAAAAAAGCTTCCATTTTTAGATCTCCTGTTCCTTTCTAAGAAACAGAAAGCAAAAGTGAATAAAGAGAAACTGGAAGAATTTACATACAGTTGCTGTAACTTTGTGCCTTCTGGAAAAGCAGACCCCATTCTAGCACCTTCCAAAAAGATCCTGGGTGGTGCTAAGCAAATATCTTAGGCTGATTTTACTTTTCACCACGGGCTTCACAGCTGACCAGTCTCTAGAAAACCATCCACAGCTAGAGCATACTGTCGACTGATTTTGTGAACTCACTGTGAAGAGTTCCTGTGGTTTGTAAGAGAGAAGATCAGACTGTTCTGGTTGGTGACTTTCAACAGCACACCACGGCCCCTTAGAGAGTTGTGGCAATGTTATTAGCCATGCTACTGTGCTCAGTCTCATGCAGGAGACACCTGAAGTCATTCTCCCACCTGATGGGAACAGAAGTAAACTGTAGTCCTCAAAGAAATCTTGCTGTCACAGGAGACTCAGCTTCACCCTTTCACCATCAATATCAGCCAGCTGAAAAAAAATTATGACTAAATGTATAATCTAGATACACTGCAAACTCTTCTGTGTTTGTCACAGGGGTTCATAGAATATCCCGAGTTAGAAGGGACCCACAATAATCATTACCTGGCCTGTGGTAAAAACTTCTGTTTTTGGAACTTTTGGATGAGGCAGCTGAAAACAGATCTCTTATCTGGTAGCTAGGGGAGATTCAAAATGCTAAGAATTAGTCTTTCTTAACTGTAGTATATGTTCTGCTTGCTAATGAGAAGTCAATTTGCTCCTTAGAACATGTACTGCTGCCTGTTGATCTCTCTACCTTCAGCTGCAGCAGAAGCTTATGAAGAAAACACCGATTCAAAAGCACCATTCAAAAGTTTGAAAACTAATTCAAAACACAACAGTGCAGATTCCTAATGGCACTCAGACTACTTGAGGAGGTACCAAGATGTTTAAACAGCACTGCACACTATCAAAGCAGTGTGACCCCCTGTGCACTCTGACTTCATGTTGCAGAAGGCTGAATAAATTGCTTTATTTAGCTGAATTATATTACATTAATACTATACTAGAAATATCTTATACTAAAAAGATACTAAAGAAAAACCTGTGACTGTCTCCAGACAGTCATGACACAACTTTGACTCAATTGGCAATCAATCCAAAGAACTATCACCAGTGTCCAATTAACAAATCACTCTTCAGTAAACAATCTCCATAATACATTCCACATGTGCCAAACAACAGGAGCAGCAAATAGAGATGAAAATTGTTTTCTTCTTTCTCTGAGCTTTCTCACTGTCTCACAAGTTCCCAGGAAAAATCCTAGAAGAGAGAATCATGTCTCTCTGTGTTCAGGGAATGTGTAGCACAGTACACCTGTATGAACTATTTACTGTTGGAATAAGCAACAGCTTATGGAAACAAGAAGCCTTTAAGCTCAGTGATGGCTATGAATGCAGCTCCTTCTAAGCTGTACGTAAACTTGGGGTGAGATTGGAAGAGATACAGGTAGACAAATC